CTTCCTGTTTCCTTCTTTCCTGATTGTGGCTAGATGGCTAAACACGTTAAAAAATGCTTTCCGCGTCCAAGAAGCACATATTTTCCAAAAAATGATAATAAAGTCTGCTATTTTGCAGCTATCAAATTTTACGGGATGAACAACGTACAGCATTAGTAATATCAAGAACCGGCACAAAATGGTTATCACTGTTTGCTAGAAAAATCGCATCTTTCCTCGTAGCATCGTCACGTTGTTCTAATGAAGACTCTAAAATCACATATGAATTTCATTACTGTCGTAGTCGAACAGAGAGAAAGAAAGTCAAGGGGAAACTCCAACTGCCTCCAAATGTTCATTACCTTGTCAAGCCCAGTCACACTTGTTCCCGCAAACTAACAGGGAATTTAAAAAAAAATTCTACTCTTAGCGTGTATTAATTTACATGCTCCCGTACACTGATCTCGGTGGTGTTTGGTTCTTCGTATAACAGTCTCAAATGAATAACAGCTTACAACGCTGCATCACATGTTTTGTTGAGATGCGGTAATCGACATGTGGTCAGTTCTGAAAACTCACGCCGTCCGTTATCACACATTTTGCCAGCACCTCCTCAAGGCTTTAGAGGTGATAGAAGAAATATTTCATCACTCTGTGTATGCTGCATTTTTGTTGCAACACTCAAACTGCATAGCAAATATCGAAAGCATAGCCTTATGAAACGGCGTTCTGCACGACCCAGCTAGACTTATGCTGCTACCACCTAGCACTTTTAACAAAGCTTAATTGTGTTTAGGGCAAAACAAAGCACACAGTAAGAAAACAAACCGAGACTGAAATTTTTGCGATTCATTCGCTTCCACAGCTTCAAGTTATTTGAATTTCATCAGCTACTTTTTTTTGTTCATTTAAAGCTAATTATGAGCAGAATAGCATTGGATTATTGTTCTTGGCAAGATGCAGTCACTCAAATCATTCTCGAAAGTTTTGGCCTCCCGCAAAAAACAAAATATGGGAAAAATTTGAGCTCAAACTAACAGCTGACCACTCAAAAACTTACGTTCGTACGGTTTTCACTGTTTGGCACTTCTTTCAGAAATTAACTAACTGTGCAATGCGCCGTCGCCCTCGACCACAAATAATGGCCTATATCGCAGCCACTTTCCGCCCAAATACGTCCAAATATCTGCTTCCAATAATGATGCCAGAGCGAAAATTTCGACCTCCGTAGCCCATTTGCCTTCTGTCGCAATTCCACTAAGATGCTTCTTCCAAGCTCGTCCTGTCATGTTTTTGATTTCGCGGAACTGGTCATTATACTTCTTTTCAAATTTCGCAACCTTAAGTTCGCAATCAGTTGTTTATGTCCCACAATATTTGTAGCCAAATTTGGACATTTTTTATTCACAGATTTTAATTCTCTTTCCATTTGGCATCTACTGACGTGTAACTAATATTAATTTTCTTCCTGAACTACGAGTTGGTACAGAGGACTACTAGCGTTTCTGTAAGCTGTTTCTTAAAGTCAGGCTTCTTCTTCCGGCTGCGTTGCCAAATACGCCACTGCTTATACGGTAGCGTTAAACCATTCGGGGTACGGCACTTCCGATTTAATCGTCTTAAGATATGAGGAACACGTGAACTCCACGCTTATGTAGCGCAAGATATTCCTACAAAGGAAAGCTATTAGATGGCTGAAATAGCAGACAAACTGCGAAAGAGGCACGTCATGCCTGCCACATCATTCCGTTTTAACAGAACAGAAGGACGGGAAAACGAGTTGTGGGCTGATTGCCCAGTTAAGACTAGCGTCCGAAACAAACTGCATCGACAACGATAAATCTATTGTGATAAGACGGCAACTGATTAAAGTATAAAAAAATAAACCGCAGTAATTAGTGCTAGTCGAGTCAGAAGTTACAAGTTTCGAAGCATGTCGAAATGAACATGAACGACGTCGCTTCATTTATGGTCGATCAACGCACCAAACATCTTTTAATTTAATTTTGAAAAGCGTTCTTCAACGCACTGTAGCTACTTACGCTTTGCCTGACAGCAATGTGCTCATCATCGCTGCCTGCTAAGCAAAAAGCAACCGAGCGGAAGAGGCAGTTCCCATCTGCTTCAATATATCCAACTTTCAACGGCTTACTCTGCTGGTAGAGTATTTTCGGAAGCCCTCTAAAATGAAAAATCAATTATAAAACCACTAAGCGAGGAAGTACACAAGAAATAGATAATCTATGCATGAAGCTATGTGCTAAAGAAGCAACTGTGTCACTAAAATTAATGCGTCACTTCGAAGAACTCTTTTAAGAAGTCTGCAATAGTGAAGCAAGCTTCCATAAATCCGTCACAGTTTAGAAAAATACATTTATGATGTAGCTGTAAACGGAATAGCGCTATTTGTTCGCAATGAAGCCAAGGACGAGATGGTGCGATGGTCAAAAAAAAAAAAAAACATTTCGAAACACATATAGACAGTAAAAATAAAGATTTCGAATCCTACCGCCCAAATCTTTGAGGCTTTTAATGAATGGTCTTGACACCACGAATATCAAGAAAAACAAGCGAGACTTGGAATAGCGCACTCCGTTCGCTGTAGTATCCTCAGATGCTACAGTGTGTACATATGTCGATGAAATGCACACATGCTGAAGAGAACAGTCTCTTCCAAAAAAAAAAAAGAAATAAGAAAAAAGTGGATTCAAATAGCCGTAAAACGGCAAACATGTGTGTTGTAGCCGTGAAACGGTAAACATCGCTTATTTTTGGAAAACAATGAATCAGCGCAGCTGCGCTGCACGTGAACTGCCTTATCCCTACAAGGGGCAGTACCATATTCAAAAATAAAGGCCCGGAAACAGATTTAGCCCCTCCCTCAAAAAACTGTATAAAAAGGGCTAGATTTCTCAGTGGGCTCTTTTTTTCTTCACCCTTCTGCAACGCCAACCAACTCATCGACCCCGTCTTCTTCCGGCATCACCTCCCGTTCAACGTTCGTCAACGACTTCATCGACGTCAACAACTTCGTCAATATTTTCTGTTCGACGAATATCCATAGAACCAACGACTATTATTATTATTATTATTATTAACGACTACTATTATTGGTCTACAACAACAGCATACAACAGTTCGTCTGTAATTCGTGGTGTGACCTTTTGTCCACCACACATGCCGTGAATAGTTATTCATGAAAGAAAAGGAAAAATAATTAGCCAACGCACGGGCTGCCCTTGCGAAGATGCGTTTTTTGCATACTTCCCAGCAGTTTTTGTCGCCACAGGCATCGGGTTTTTGGCAAATCCTTCTAGCTAAACAAATTAAGACTGGGCGCCAAGACTAACAGGAAACGCCCCCTTAAAATTTCAGCTCTCTAGTTTTCTTGGCTCCTGAGTTAGCAATTTACTGGAAAAAATTTTTCACGAGCCCGCACTCGAGTACCACGTATACCCGATGTCTGGGTTTGAGCTCGTTGAGACCTACTTGAACAGGGAACATCCTCCCAAACTACAGTCTTCTAGCTTTACATGATCTCCAGTTATGAGCTTACCCGAGAAAAACCTTGGTGAACCCGTGCGTAGGTACCACGCATAGCCGTAGGCTAGGTTTGATCTCGTTGAGACTAATGTGGACGAGAAGCACCCTCTTAATGTTAGAGTCTTTTAGTATCTCAGTTCCCCAAGTTATGAATTTACGCTAGAAAATTTTGGCGGACCATACGCGGGTACCACGCATACCCGGGGGTTGAGTTTGAGCTCATTAGTACCTGCTTGGACGGAGAACACTCCCTTAAAATTTCAGTTTTCTAGCTTTCTTGGTTCACAAGTTATGAATTCACGCGGAAAAATTTTGGCGGGTCTGTAAGCGGGTACCACGCTTACTCGGGGTTGGGTTTGAGCTCACTAGTACATACTTGGACGGGGAACATTCCCTTAAAATTTCAACTTTCTAGCTTTCCTGATTCGCGAGTTATCAACTTACCCTAAAAAAACTTTGGCGGGCTCTTACGCGGGTACCACGCAGGTAGGACCGCCCATTTTGGGGATGGTGGCCCGTACGTGCATATAGATTATGCCCCCAAAGTTTCAACCCTGTAGCTTTTGCCGGTCTCGAGATAAAAAATTGGTACAGACGAACAAACACACATACACACAGACAGCCTCTCGTCAGTATGCGTTTTTCGCATTGCATAGCTGCAAAAAACGCATAAAAAAGGACATGAAAAAAAAGAATACGTTCAAAATAAGTTGCGAAAGAAAAATGTAGCAGTCGTAAATTATCAGTGATCTTTTAATATTGCGCAGTTTTTCATGGTTCTTTATGACTGTAATTTTATTATGCCAAGGTTGAAAATTCCCTCGCTTAGCTGTTTTTATGCGTTTTTTGCATCTATGCAATGCAAAAACGCATATTGTCGAGGGGTTGTCTGT